ATCTCGAGTAATATCGTCATTTCTTTTGTAGTGTCATAAAAAACACGTTATTTAATGGAAGGTGTCCTTGTTATCATCTTTGTTGCACAAAATGTTTTTACTATCACTACACAATTGCTATGTGATGATGGTATAAATATATTGTATGACAAAGATGATAACAAGGACAAGTTCCATTCATTAACGTGTTGTAGGGCACTAGCAATAAAAACGACGGTATTACTCGAGGTTGTGTATTGCAGTCGAATTGTATTATGAGGCTGGTGAAACTCAACATACTGATAAACTAACCATTTTTGGACAAAGGCATCATCTTGTATCAAAGTTAAGTTTGACATCAGTGACACCGATTATGCCACGTCATAAGTTATTAAAAATTTCATAATAGTTACACAGAAAAAGAACTACGTGGACTTTGATTCCCTATATTAGGAATACGTAGGCACCTTAATTGACTATATCATCTGTCCTCGGATGTTTATTAAATGTCAATTAAGCTCAAGTCCATATTTAAATGTCAATTACTTAGGAAACCTTTCATCCAACTTCGAAAACCTTACATAAGTTATTTTCTCAGAGTGTTGGGGTTCATCAGCTTCATAATGCAATTCGACTCCAATACACAGTCTTGAGTAATATCGCCATTTTTTTTTTGTATTGTCATAAAAAACACGTTATTTAATGGAAGGTGTCCTTGTCATCATCTTTGTTGCACAAAATGTTTATACTATCACTACACAATTGTTGTGTGATGACGGTATAAATATATTGTACGACAAAGATGATAACAAGGATAAGTTCCATTCATTAACGTGTTGTAGGGCACTAGCAATAAAAACGACGGTATTACTGGAGGTTGTGTATTGCAGTCGGATTGTATTATGAGGCTGGTGAAACTCATCATACTGATAAACTAACTATTTTTGGACAAAAGCATCATCTTGTATCAAAGTTTAAAAGTAGTTTAAAATTACAAAGAATAACACGAATGCTTAATCAGTTACGCTCGAATAAATAAAAAATTGGACATGAACGATGAAGCCACTAAAACTTTTTCAGTGTTAATGTCACTAGACGCTTTCAAAAAGGACGATAAGCTTATTTTGCAGGGCTTCAATCGCTGAAGCCCTGCAATATAATCTTATCGTCCTCTTTGAAAACGTCTAGTGACATCGGCACTGAAAAGTTTGAATGTCTTCCTCATTTGTGTTTGTTGATATCCGAGTTAGCCAGGAATGAGCCGGGGAGACGTTACCAACCGACTCGAGCCAAAAGCCCGGTCTGATGAGGAAGTGCCGAGCTGGATCATGGATTAGAGTGGCGGGAATCCATCCTGGGAACAGATTCTCAGCCCGGCTCCCGTCTCAGGCCGGGCAACTGCCGGCCTGAGTGGGTGCCGAACACGAAGAAGACTATTCGTAGTCTGAAGAGCATCTACGAACGAAGTGCCGATCTGAAAGTACGAAGAGGCCGACCAGGGACGACGCATGGGTTTCGATGAGCATTAAAATATTCCCACTTGGGAGGTCATCATTGGACGATGGGACAGGTAATCATGGCCTAGCCTACCAGCCAGCCTAAGTCAGCAAAGCCATCCAGCATTAAATGCCCCCCATGCTGGCATTTAATGCCCGTCAGGCAATGATTGGGGAAACCTCAAATCGCATTAAATAACTGTCAGACGGACGCCGAACTGCTCTGCCGGATTACTGTGCGACAAGACCAGTGAACAGTAGCTGAATAGTGCCACATTAAAGACCACTATAAATAGCAGTTCATCTCATTTATTTTGGGTTGTTGAATTCCAACTAACTCCTGCCTTCTCTCTATTTTCTCTCTCTAAACTGTAAGAAGCTCATTGTAAGAACTGTAAGTATATCGCAAGTGCCGACCTCGTACGAGAGGCCGACCTCGTGATCGCCTAATAAAATCGTAATTAAACCGGATTATTCTCCCCTTTTCCAGTCCTGCTTTCTTTATCTTTTATTTTTAACCGTTGACCGAAAACGCTCGTCAACAGTGTTCATGTGTCCATTTATTCGCATGATATTTGATTTATCCATTATATTATTCTTTGTAATTTGATACTAATAAGCAAATCAGAAAACAATGTTCATTCCAATTTGTTCTCAAATCACTGGAAGTTTGGAACTAATGAATAGGGGGATGAAATTAATGTGAAGTGTTGACGACTCCAACGTGAGTTTAACATTACATTATTTTGCAATCATTTTGTCGAACCTAAATAAAAATTAAGATGATAAGTACAATATGAGAGTTATATTGTTTGTGCTATCGCAGATGTTTATACTTTAAATTATAATACATAATGAAGAATATTGACAAGATATCATTGTCCGAAATGAAGTTGATGTTGAAACATTAACGACATGTACGACTGTGATGTAATGTCAATAGTCTTTAT